TAATAGCCTATACTTTATAATTAATTATATTTATTATTTTATTTACGGTCAAAATAACCTTTTATATTTTTATAATATTCAGTTCTTATTTTTAAAAATGTTAAGTTGCATAAATAGTATTTTTTTATATTTATTTAGCTATTTTATTAATTTATTTTTTCCTTAATTTCTCTTATTTAAAATCTGGCCCAAAACAGGCCAAATTTCGGACACAATCCACCAGCCCAGACTTCCAAACTTCAGCCCATTGACCCCTGGCCCAATTCCAAACTTCTCTCAAGATCAACAGCCCACGATCACTCCATCTCTTTGAACTACCCAACCGCAAACCCTAACACCCATTCCTCCAAAACAGTTGCCCCTAAACACTCTCTCTCTCCCTTCTTCAGAAAACCCTAGTCGCCTCCCCCAATCTTCTTCGAATCCGATCAAATCATGGATTTCTTATGTGATTTACTTACCTTTTACGCGTTACTTTGTTGTTACTTACTCGATTATTGTGTTACTTAGTACTTGCCTATTTTTGTCAAGTACCAGTCTCCAAATCAAGGGAAATCGGCTTCATTTCGAGATTTGGATGATATTTCATCTATATACATTCATGGCAAGGCTATGAGGGTCCAATTCACCAATATCTCCGTCTAATTTCTGATCCTTGTCAAACTAGGGTTTACCTAGTTTCAACCCCTAATTTGATTCTAATTTTTTTTTTCATGTTCTTCTTTCCTTGTTTATGTTTGATTGACTGTATTTTCTTATTTATGTGTTGATATTTACTACTATATAAACCTTATTTCCCCTTTTTCCCCCGAAGATTTAATTACTGCTACCACTACTGTTATTCTCTCAACTCTCATTATTCTATACTTTCTGTATTTTTGGTTGTGATCGGCTGAAAGCCAAGGCCACCAGAATCTTCTCTAACTACCTCCATAGTGCGAGCACTACTCGGGGCTCGTTCGAAGCTCCTGTGAACTCTAACGCACTAGGGGTTTGGAATTCCAGCTGTTGTTCTTACCTTGCTACTGGAATTTGGTGATTCTTCTCTATTTGTTGTTAAATTTTCAAAGTGGTAAGTGTTCAGACTCTCGCTATTATGTTTCTTCCCTATTTGTGTTCATGCTTTTGAATATCCTTGTTATGTGGGCTTTTTAAACCCAATATGATATTATGCCGACCTTTGCTTTGGTTTTCTCTTGTAATGCTTCATCTAGGCTTGTATAAGTTAGCATGTGTAGAAGATTTATGCGTTGTGATACTTGTTCGAAGTTGTTATGTTCATGAATGCCTAATCTATAACATTGACTATTTAATACTGTATATTTTCATGTCTCAATTTGAATGCTTGCTCTCAAACTCTAAGGAATTATTGCCTGCCCAGAATTTGTTTTAATAAATCCCTGAATCCTTTATGTAGGCTCTACTATTGTCCTTATTTACATGAACCCTATTGTTATTCCAATGCTTTAACCAAACATGTGGCTTTAAGAATTGTAATGTGTTATTTGGCTAATCCTACACTCGTTAGTATTGCCTAGGCTTCTAGTTGAATCCCAATACACTTAGTTTTCTATATTATGCAGGATTGACTGGCTTAAGTTCTGAAATCTATCTGCTCTACTTGACCTTAAGTTGGCATGTTTTCCTACTATGATATCTTTGAACTTGGGAACCTTTGTGTTATACTCAACATGGTTAAGATTCTTATTGGTTGTTATAGATCATGCCTATCCGCTTGTTTAGTATGTGTAATTGCTATCCTCTGACTATGACTCTATCAGACCTTCATGACTTAGATTCATAGCTTTAAATCCCTTTTGGACTAATTCTGAACCATGCTCTACCCTAGACTCACTCTGGAAAGCTTAACATGTGCATCTTGTATATGTTTGGTTTGCTTACCCTGTTAACTCTAAGTGGCATGTCTCCTCAACTCTCCTAATGTTATGTCTATATTTGGCATGCTATCACCTGCTTAATGATTTAACCTATACTGTTTGTTTGCCATGTCAAATTTACCATGTTGAAATTAAGCCTATCGATTCTCCTAGTCTCGCGTTCTTTGCTTAATCAATCCTGACACTCTTGCTTCTGAAATGCCAATGTGTTTTTTGTGAGTCCTGCTAAATGTCATACAATCCTATCTCTATGAGATATTGCTTTAGGGCTGTTTAGTTGATTTTCATGTGTGGTCCATTAACTTGTTTGGTTAAGTGCTCAATCTGTAATTGTTGGGCTTGGTATGAGTTCATGTATGGCCTTGGGTTTGTGCAAATGGATACACTATCCTGTTTGAGATGCGTTTGGATCTGGGCCTGCTATTCGTGTGAAAGAGAGCATGTTGAAGGCCCAGGCAGTACTGGGTTATTATCATTTGGGCTTGTTCTTGGGCCTGCAGTTGTTCCTTATGTAATATTTGTACTTGTACTCATTATCTCGGCTTGTAATAATTTGTAAGCAAACAATTGGGGAGTTAGTGAAATGGGGGAAGCAGGTATACTTTAATTTCCTCCTAAATGGGTAGAAAACATGTCCATGGAATTTATTTGCTTTGCCTGCTATTTGCTTGACGTGCTTTAATTCTGTACACTAATAGAAATCATGCCTATAGGAAATTACACACTTCACTTAACTTGTCTAATACCCGTACACTATCCAAAGCATGTTGGTTCGAGTAAATGCTTTACTTGCTTCCATGTTTACTTCTATGCACTATTAGACAACATGTCTATAGGAATCGAATATCAATAACTACTTGCTTAGTTATGTAATTGCAATGTGATTACTAGATAGCATGCCTATAGGATCACACTAGTACATGTCTTTGCTCATCTAGATACCATGTATATAGGGCTTTATTTGATTAACTAATCGATTACTTCTGTTATTTTATTACACTGCCACCTAGATATCATGCCTATAGGAATAAGTATGATAAAATTGAGTTCAAATACCAACTACTAGAGAACCTGCCTATAGGATACTGCTACTCGCTTTGAAAGCATGCCTATAAAATCAAACACTGGTAATTCTGAGTTTTCAAATGGTTTTACTGCCCCATTGCGCAAACAACTTAAAGATCATGTCTATAGGTTTTATAATACTTGTAATCTGCAAATTCGATAGTTTGAAACAGCGGCCCTGCCTGTAGGACGCTTAAAACTGGGATCATATAGAAGCCATATCTATAGGACTTAACGACTCTAATATGCCTTATTTCTGAAATTGTCTACTGCCTAATGCAAAATCTGCAACATGCTTTTGTTGCTTACGTGTGGAGGCTAACTCGAGCCATTTATTGTCTTTATGTGTAGTCCTACATGTTTTTGAATGTGTGCCTAGTTTTATCATTTTTGAGCATCCTAAGTAAAGTCTAGAACCACCCAAATAGTAGGTCCAAAGTCTCCTGGATCATAGGCATGGGACGGGTAGTGCACGCATAGGACACGGTCTAGAATTGAACTAGAGCGCTTTAGGTAAACAACTTTAACATAGTAATTGGGTAACAGGAGATGATAGTCTGTGCCCGCTGAATAATATGAGCAAACTCCCTACCCTAAGGGAGTTGCGAAGTATTATTTATGTTGCATGGGGTGATCCTTTAGACTAAAAAACTTAGGACCCCCCTCCTTTATATGTTTATTTGCGCCTTGTTTCTTGAACTTAGAATAATTAGGTTATATCCTGTAACCTCTAAAGACTTGTACTGATCATTTATATATATAGTTTAATTCTTGTGCGATTTTCTTTACACTTGTTTACATCGTAGTAGAACTTTTAAATTCCCTATCTTCCCTCACTTACATGATCACATGGGACAATTATAATCCAATAATCCCACATAGCGTAAATTTCGGTCGGGACTCACAGTTGTGGATCTCGAATAGTGCCTAACACTTTCTCTTTGAGGTAATCTGAGCCCTTACCCGATCTTTGGCAACGTAGATTAATTAAACAGAGTTATTTGCAAATAGGTGCCCTAATGCACCTTAAAATTGTTAGGTGGCGACTCTTCTCTTTTAATACACATTTAAAAGAGTTGTCACGTGTCGAAACCCACTTTCGAGAGAAAACGGGGCGCGACATTGTGAGTTGATTATTATTCGAGGATTTGATTTTTGTTAGTTGCTTGAATATATTGAATGAGTTTCTAATTAAATTTCAAGGTTATTTGTGGTTTTACTTTAATCGGGAGAGAAGTGTAGTTGCAAATATCATTGTGGTATCTTGTTGGGTAAATATCACGACTCTCATAGGTAATCAAAAGAGCTTATAGAGTTATCAATTGACCCAATATAGAGGAATAATGGAGAGAAGTTCTTCGTAAGACAATTCATTCAACATATTCTTGCATATATTCATAGCACTTGTCATTAAGTTGTTTAACGGAACTCTCATTCATTCGAAAAAAGAATTTGAATCCTAAAGATAATCTAATCAGCTATTGAAATCGAAAGAATCAATAGAACTTAAGAGTGAACTTGGAACAGATTTATATCCCGAATAATAGTTGAGCACATATCTTATCAAAGCACTTATTTCTCTCATTGATATTCAATTGTTGCTACCTAGCTACCCAATTTCCGTTAATCGTTCGTAATCGATAATCTTAGTTTTTACTCATAGTTCTTTAATAATTCAAAATCACAAGTTTATTTTCCCGAATAGTGTTAAGCTGAAGATTTATTTGAACATTATTTACATCAGTCCCTGTGGAGACGATTTAATAACTATATTATCTTTGACTAGCGAGCCTCAATTTTATATACCGGTTTTGCGCTCGTCAGTTAATGAATTCCATTAACGAGACAGCTCCTATGAGAAAGGATAGAAAAAGGTCTTTCAAATAAAATCCATAGGACATAGTGTTCGTACAGAGTATGGTGTGGACTGTTGGAGGAATTAAAGAATTGAAAACATTTAACACAAAAAATGCCCCTTTGAAGAAATTGCCGAGTGCTCATCCCCTTATTTATTCATCTCAAAAAAAAAAAAAAAGAACTTAAAAGAGTCGTGTAGACATAAATCCTAATCAACAATCAAGGTTGTATACAAAAGCAATGCAAGTGGGCACTCACCCCTCCAATATTTCCCCCAAAACAAAAACTGAAAAACACATTGGCGACATTTACAGTAATCCAAATCTTGAACTCGCAAATCTTACACTTGTAATTTAACAAAAGCACCCATGTAATTTCGTCAAAACAATTAGCATCAACAGGTAGGATATTTTTGTCCAAGATTCATACTGGGGAACAAAAACAGCCAGCAACTTCTATGTGACAAAGTTAGAGAAAAGTGGACTGCACATCTATTTGCCTAATAAGCACTAGGCAATTTCTTCTTCTGATTTCAGTGACAGAAGGCTTGGTCTCTACCATGAATTTTGGCACTGTTGATGAGCATGTTTGGTTTTGATCTCTCTCTCTCTCTCTTCGCATTACACAGCACCAGCTTTTGAGCTTCCCAACGGGGTGAACATGAAGTTTCCCGAAAATATAGCTTCTTTATCTGTCCAATCAAAAGCACCATCACTATAATGAAAGTTCCAGAAATATTTTATCTTTATACAGGCTACCAGTGAGGAATCAGTAAGGAAAAAGAATTTATTGAAAATTCCCTCATAAGTCTCCGTGGTATAAGTTGCTTATATGTTACGAATGAGAATGGGGCTGCTTCAAGTGAGAAAAGATAGGATCATCCATACATCGACAATATGGGCATGAAAAGACAGAGATATAGCACAGACAACCCGTGCCTTCAAACCCTAGCCCCATTTTGTTTAAGCAATCAAAAGAAATGGATGGATTCAATTCAACCAATCCTCAGGTATGAAGCCTCATGCATAATGTCTGATGCAATAAAACTGAGTTAAAAGAATTCTCTGAAACAATTAACTGGGCATTTGGTAAAGAGGACTTCAAAGACTTCCATGTCTAGCCACAAATCAATAGCCAGAATCACAATCAAGCATCCTAACCACTCTGCTGAGCTTTATTTTCATACAATACTTGTGCAAACATTTCAAATGCAGGAAAGATATCTCATGCCGACTAATATATTTAAGAGCTACAAAATTATTTTATTATACTCAAGATTATATTTAAAGCACTAAGTCAATCTGAACACCAAGGTAACATCTCCCAAACCCCAAACTGGGGATTTGAAGGCAACAAGACTTCCTGTAAAAAAATTCATCATTCTATTTTCCCGTCTTTTCTTTTCCTGATGGAAGGGTGGTTTGCAGATATGAAATATGGCATCGCAAGGATAGAGACTGCGGTGTCTCGCACTGTTTAAGATTTTCCTCTGTCTCTTTAAGAGGGCAGACTAAGAGCATGAAAGCCCTCAGTTTACAAGTGCTAACATCATTTTCAAATAAATTGATACATAATTTGTTTAAGGCAGAATTAGTACCTGTCAATGACATACAGTTGAATTCCCTGCGAACATACCTCGACAAAGCCTGCAATCACACGATTAAAGAATATAATAAGCTCGGTATGTATACAGAGCCCAACCAAAAACAAACTATATGCAACAATTTGAAAGAAAAATAAGTATGGTATCCAGAATCCTCGGACGCATTATACCTTTGGTACAGAGTCCAATAAAGCGAAAACTAAATTCGAGGGAAATTACTAAAAGAGATGTACTTTCAAGAAATGATGAATGCTAGTCTCAAAACTACACTGTTTCTTGCAGTCAATAGAAGGTGAAAGCTAATAGCAACTTAAGGAGAAATGAGAACAAATTTTTATCTTTCACAAAAGACGCAAAAGCATTTCCAACAACTCACATTTGACATGCAATTCCCAACTCTTTTAATCGCCCACCAACTGCCTACACTACAAGTCTTCAGTTCTGAGCAAAGACTGTATCAAGAAGAGCACCTCAAGAATGCATGTACAAAGATGTACTTGCCTGGAGAGGAAGCAAGGCAGCATGATCAGGCGTAGATGTACCATCATCAGAGAAGACATTCCTACAACATATAATATCAGAAGGCCAATCAAATAGAATGCACATAGAACTGTCATTGGTAACCAAATGGCCATCTCCTTAATCTTAATTACAATAGGGCATATTAAAGACTACAGAGACTTCGACCCTTTTCAGATTACCAAATATAATACTCTATCTTTGTTTATACCATTCTCCTATACCACATCAAATTGTAGTTTACTATAACACCACGGAAACATCATGCTTCAAAATATGCAGCTGCAATTACAACAAACAGCTAGTTCCTACAGTTTGGAACTGACATTGGCAATGACAGTGTTAAGAGAACTCTCCAACTTTTAGGTGGATTTTGTAAAGAGGGGGAATTTAAAGATAGAAAAGCAAAAACAAAAGGAAAAATAGTGAGCTAGAATTTCCAATGAATTCGTCGGAAAAAAAGATAATGAGGCAAAGGCTTTAACTTCTGTAATTCTATTGGATCTTTGGTTTAGCTATCCCTCAATACAAGGGAGAAGCAATTGACTTTAAATGATTAGTTTGATAATTAACTCCCTAACGATCCTAGCTTGTTTGTAGCTAAAAAAGACTAGTTTTTTTTTTAGTTCGCTTCTCTATCCAGACAAGATCATTATAAGGAGCAATGCATTTAATCGACTTTTTTCATCATAGCTTGTTGCAAGCTTAAAAGAACTTAAAAAAGTTGTATATTGCTCTTCAAGTATACAGTTTCACTATTTTCTCATTAGTATCTCATGAAGACACAATTTAGGGTATAATTATCCAATGTGTTTATTTCTATCTTGATAAATGTGGAAACCCAACTATTACAACCTTCACACAGAGTTTAGAGCTATCCTTAGAAATGTCTCAAGAGAACTCAGTGACTGATCAAATATTCCAGTCAAATTAAAGGCCGATACTATTTTCCTCTTTCTTATATGTGATTAAGGTCTAGAAACTTCAGCTCATATTCTCTAACAAATGTTTTCAACTTACCCATCCTTTTGCTTATCCTAATTGAGCAGAGTCCCCTAAGTTGGAAATGGCAACAAACATTAGCAGATTTGCATTGATAAGTGAAATGGCCACAAAGAGTTATGCTGAATTAATGTAAGAAAAATGAAATAGCTCATCAGTTCTATATAATGATTAATGACCAAGGAAAAAATGATCGGATCACAAACTTCACATGATGAAATACTTAACAAACAAACTAAAAATGAAACCTGCAATGTTAGGATACATCGTGGAGCCTGAACAAATATTGCTATGGCTTACCTCCAAATTACGTTTTGCAACTCATCCTGCTTAGCTTCAGGAAGCATAGCAGCATCATAGGCAACGATGTTGCCATAAAATATCTTCTCTAGATCCTTCATCCATTTAGTCAACAATAAGTTAACCTGCAATTTCAATAGGACGAAAGATACAAAATAAACTTAAGTTCATAAATCCTGTTATTTAAACATACAGAATCTTGCATGCCCAATATAAATCACAATAAGAAAAAGAGGAAATATATCGCCATCACAGAGCTGCTTATCCAGTTACATACTACCTTCCCTTTTCCATTTCAGTGACTACAAATTGTGGAAAAACCACAATGAAGATGAAAACATTTTTTCTTTTAGCGGATGAAGTCAATCATTTTATTACATGAAAAAGGGTAGCCCCACATACCAGGTGTATATAAAAGTACATACTCATATGCAAAAGTATGAATCTCCACAAAAGAATTTAGTTGTCATACACAATATAAAGAAATCCAACAAATCTTTACAAATGAATTTCGAAATCCTACAAACGCTCTTCTGTTCCACTCTTTCCATATTGTTAACCTGAGAGAAGGGAAAAACCTTCTCTGCCACTTCATTCTGAATTTCCAACCTTTCCACGCCATACACCATTCTATGTGCTATCAGGCAATAAACCATACATCCTCTTCAGCTTTCTCACACACGAAGCACCAATTAATGTGGATTGTTCTTCTTCTACACATTTTATCAGCCGTTAGGATGCCTCCCTATTCTACTGGCCAAGTTCTTTTGATAAGTTTTACTACTGTTCAAGTAGAAAGGAACACTTTGGTGCTCTCAGAATCCATATTGATCAGATAGGAGAGTCTTTTTTCCCGTTTCAGCAGTTTACTATAGAATAATTTGACTGAACATAACATTCTTTTGCCTTCCAAATTCAACAGTCCAACCAGCAAGTGAAATTCAATGCTTATATAATATCCAAGTAAACTGTTAAGCTCTTCATCACCCAATATTGCAGGGAGGAAAGAAACAACCATTTAATCAAATGGGATATAATAACCTCTCCTATGAAAACAAGGGGTAGGGATAGAGATTTGAGGGACTCAACATAGCCTTCCTAGGGAAATGAATTTAAAGGTTTAGATGGGAGGATCAATTTTTGTAAAGGAGGGTCATTATACAACTATAGACAAATATGGAATTGGAGTCCAAGTGCGAGGTGGAGGACCATTCAGATTACTTTAACATATGGAGTTTCTAAATCGGGGAGTATAATAAATGGGTGAGAAGATATTTGAAGGAATATTAATTAAAAGCTATTATCTTCTGGAAACAAATTTGATGCAGTAATGCCCCCTTAAGTGAAGCTTTTCCAAAGAAGAAAAGCATTAATAGAGGCAGCATTATACTGAAGAAATTCAAAAAAGATGAGTTGTAGGACAATGGAAAAAAGTGCCAGAGCAGGGAAAATGCAATCGATATGTTTAAACATAGAATCAGATTTCGTCATTAATATCAAACTGAAGACAAGACAAGTCTACAAATATAGGGGAGGGAACCTCAGATAAATATTATTCATTTGAAATCCAAAAATGTGAAAAAGACTACAGAAATACTGATAGCAAAATTTGTAAATGAAAATGTAACGACCCGACCGGTCGTTTTGAGCTTTAGCGTTCCATTCGGTGGTTTGAGACTTTGAGTAGCTTCATATAGTGTATTATACCTTGAGTGTATGGTCGGTTTTGGTTTTCGAGTGGTTCGGGATTGATTTGGAAGAATGACTCTTGATTTGGAAGCTTTAAGTTGGAAGAGTTGACCAAGGTTTGACTTTTGGGTAAACTGACTCGGAATCGGGTTTTGATTGTTCCGATAGGGTCGTATGATGATTTTGGACTTATACGTATGTTCGGATTTGGTTTTGGGGGTTCCTAGAAGAATTCGACACTACTTGTCGAAAGTTGGCAATTTGAAGAACTTAAGGGTTCATAAGTTTAACCAAGAGTTGACTTTGATGTTATTGGACTCCAATTGGTGTTCCGAGACTTTGGATAGGTCTATATAGTTGAATTGAACTTGTGTGCAAAGTTTGGAAGTAATCTGAAGTGTTTAAGTGTGATTCGGACACTCTTTTGAAAGAATGAAGATTTAACAACTTAAGAGAAATTCTATTCGGTTTGAGCCTCGATTCTTTGTTGTGATGTTCCCGTGGGTGTTTTGAGGCTTTAGATAAGTTTGGATAATGTATTTGTACTTGTTGGTATGATTGGATGGGGTCCCGAAGGGCTCGGGTGTGTTTTGGATCATTGGTTGAGAAACTAGTTAAGTTAATGATTTGTAGTTTGACCATGGTCAATATCGGGTCAAGATGATCATTTTCGGTGTTTTGAATGCGCGAGCAGGTTCGTAGCGTGTTTTATGATTGAAATGCATATATGGTTTGTGTCCGGGAGGTTACCAATGAGTTTTGGGTGCTAAAACGAAGATTTTCTTATTGTTGGTTTTTTTTTTTCTGGTGTAAATAATTACGAAAATGCAATTTATGTTCAGACTTCCTTTAAAACTCCAAAATATCATATATCCCTCATTTTAAGGCCAAATTGGGTGATTTAAAAGGCTATCTTGGGTGTAATCTCGCAAAGATCATGTTGGGCTTATCAAACATGAGTTTCGGGATCATCTAGGATCTGATTCGGGCTGGGACAACTGTTGCGTTTTTACTTATTTCGGCATTTAGTTATTTTTTCTCACAAGGTTTTGAAGCTCGATTTTGAGCAATTTTGGAGGGGATTTTCACTACTTGGATTGGGTAAGTATTTTTTACTCGAATTTGTTTATATTTCATGATTCCAGCCGTGTTTTAAAAGGCGTGGACGTAAGGCGAGGCGTTTTACATATGCCTCAGCGAGGCATAAGCCCCGAGGCACGGGGCGTAAGCCCCATAGGTATTTAATTTTTAATATTTTATAAAATAATATAATTACAGTAAATATTTATAAACAGGTAAAATTGCACAAAAATTGAAGAAAACTATAAATATGTGAAAAATATATATATATATATAGATGTGCTCTATCCCAAAAAAAAAAAATCAAACAAACCAATCAATTATACGATACTCAAAAGTACAAGTAACTTGAGTCGAAAAGAATAAAGTTTTCTACATGGAGGAACAAAAAGGATGACTAACCTGCAATTTGAATTTTGAACTTGTTGCTATGGAGGAGATAGAGTTCTCTTTGTATTTGTTTGTGTCCGGGAGGTTACCAATTAGTTTTGGGTGCTAAAACGAAGATTTTCTTATTGCTGGGTTTTTTTTTCTGGTGTAAATAATTACGAAAATGCAATTTATGTCCCTGAAATTTTTAGACTTTCTTTAAAACTCCAAAATATCATATATCCCTCATTTTAAGGCCAAATTGGGTGATTCAAAAGGCTATCTTGGGTGTAATCTCGCAAAGATCATGTTGGGCTTATCAAACATGAGTTTCGGGATCATCTAGGATCTGATTCGGGCTGGGACAGCTGTTGCGTTTTTACTTATTTCGGCATTTAGTTATTTTTTCTCACGAGGTTTTGGAGCTCGATTTTGGGAAATTTTGGAGGGGATTTTCACTACTTGGATTGGGTAAGTATTTTTTACTCGAATTTGTTTATATTTCATGATTCCAAACCAGTGTTTTAAAAGGCGTGGACGTAAGGCGAGGCGTTTTACATATGCCTCAGCGAGGCATAAGCCCCGAGGCACGGGGCGTAAGCCTCATAGGTATTTAATTTTTAATATTTTATAAAATAATATAATTACAGTAAATATTTATAAACAGGTAAAATTGCATAAAAATTGAAGAAAACTATAAATATGTGAAAAATATATATATAGATGTGCTCCATCCCCAAAAAAAACTAGTCAAAACAATCTATTATACGCTACTCAAAAGTACAAGTAACTTGAGTCGAAAAGAATAAAGTTTTCTACATGGAGGAACAAAAAGGATGACTAACATGCAATTTGAACTTTGAACTTGCTGTTATGGAGGAGAATAGTGTTCTCTTTGTATTTGTAAAAACAAAATTGAATATTCGTTACTTTTGGGAGATATTAGCAGACTAGCAGACAAGATAAAGAATTGGGAAAGACCATGAATTAGGACTTCAATCAATTAAAAAGGTCTTACTTTTAAATTTAATACATTTCGGTTCTTTTTTAAACTTTTGAGTAATTACCAAGCTGAATTTTGAGAATTTGGATATTATATAAAGGACTTATTCAAGAAATTCTGTTTTAAATTGAAAAAGTCTTTGGGGCTTACGCCTCACTAAAAAAACGCGCCTCAAATGCCCGGTCGTACGCCCCGAACGCCCAGTCGTACGCCCCGAATTGCTGGACGTACGCCTCTTGAGACTTTCGCCCCACACCATCGCCTCGGGGCGTTTTTGGTGCGCCTCGCCCCGAAAACGCCTTTTAAAACATTGTTCCAACCTCAATTTTAGTGTTTGATTGATGATTTGAATTGGAGAAATTGGGGATTTTAGCAAAAACTCTTCTAAAACATAAATTGATTTGAAGGCCGATTTGAAGTCGGAATTGGATGATTTTGGTATGGTTGGACTCGTATCGGAATGGGCGTTCGGAATTTGTTAGTTTTGTCGGGTTCTGGGGTGCGGCCCGGGATTGACTTTTTGAGTTGACTTTTTTATTTTAGTTAAAGATCTTAACTATAATTATCAAAATTGATTTATCTTGTATTGTTTGATGATATTAAGTCATTTTTGGTTAGATTTGAACCGTGCGGAGGCGAATTATAAAGGAAAAGCTATTTTTGAGTGATGAATTGGTCTAATTGAGGTAAGTATCTTGTCTAACTTTGTGTGGAGGAAAATACCCAATAGGATTTGGTCTAATTGCATTATTTGAATTATGTGAAAGACGTGTACGCAAGGTGACGAGTGTGTACACGAGCTTATATGTGAAAATTGACCGGTTTAGACTCTTAGGCTTTTATTATGCCTTTAATTGAAGTTATTGTTACATGGAATATCTTTCATTGTTGAGTTATTTCCTATTTCATTTTGTTGTTGAAATTCTTGTATACATTGTTGTTGAGCCGTGGGCTATGTTTTATTGTGATATTGGTATTGTTGTTTTGGCAATGTTGTGGCATATGGGCACGTGTGGTGCGAGTTGATCATTGTGTTGTGATAAGATGCGCATGCGGCGGCATAAGGGTGGTGATATTGATGCGCATGCGGTGAGATAAGGGGGGTTTATGCGCATGTTGCTAGTAAGGGGAATTACTTCATTTGAAGCACACACGGCGAGATAAGGGGCTAAAGCGTGCGAAGCTATTTCGGGAAAAATATTTTTAAAAGGCGAAATGACCTAAGGGCCACTTAAACTTGTAGCCGTTTGTCATCCCGGTATATAAACTTACATTTTTCCCATTTTAACACTTTAACTCATATATTTGTACACTAATAAACACATATGACTGTGCGTGGTCCTCGAGCGCTATGACACAAATGATATGTCACATACTTATCCTCTTACTAATTACCATATGTAATTTATGGGTTCCACTTTATAAAAAATTAATTTACTCACAAAAGTTTTATCTCCCGTCCATTCTCTTCGTATAGGACGACATTGAGCCACCATTTTTCACAGTAAATCCACCATTTTCAATCGTAAGAACCCAAATTTGATCCTTCAGATTCTAATCAAACCTCAGTAAAATAATTTAGCCTAAAAATGGTTATAACACTCTCGAAAAGACCCCCCAAAATTACACCGGCGAGATTGCCGCCGGTAAAAATAGCAACCATACAAAGAATCATCCAAAATCGTCACTGCTTCACCTTTTTGCCATCGGCCTGCCACCTTCCTTACCACTTTATCTTCGTCACCTCCTTTTCAACAAGCCTACTAACAATAGACCAAACAGATCAGAAACACCACCATTTCAATTTTAATACTCTTTGCTACCAAAATTTAAAAAAAAAAAAAAAAAAAAAAAAAAAAAAAAAGAGACGAGCAATAACCATTATCTCATTTGATGCCTTACTTTATTTAAATTGTTATCATGCTTTACTTTATTTTATTCTTAAAATAAACTCATTATCTCATTTGATACTTTACATTAATTAAAATGTTATCATGCTTTACTTTATTTGATTCTTAAAATAAACTCATTATCTCATTTGATACTTTACATTAATTAAAATGTTATCATGCTTTACTTTATTTGATTCTTAAAATAAACTCATTATCTCATTTGATGCTTTTCCTTAAATAAATTTTATTGTTATCATGCTTTACTTTATTTGATTCTTAAAATAAACTCATTATCTCATTTGGTGTTTTACTTTACTTAAATTGTTATCATGCTTTACTTTATTTAAATAAACTTTCTTTGAACATTATATTGGTAATTGATACGGATACGAAATACATGGTGGCACGAGGTCTTCATCGTGCGAGTGTGACTTATGTTGCGGGCACGAGGTGCCATGTGTGTAAGATTTGTGAATTGTGGCTTATGACTTGTAATTATGAGGTGTGGTACCTCAGGGTGATTCTTGTTGTAAATCTTGTGGTGGAACGACTTGATGATTTGAACTGTCATTGTTTTCCTTGACTTAATTCCCCTGTATTTCAAATGTGTGTTGATTATTTTGTTGTTTTACTGCATGTTTATTCTTTGTTGCCATTTATTTCATTATTTGCTTTCCGTCGTTAGCTTTATATCTATGTCCTGCACAAATTTTCATGTCTAGTGAGTGTCTTGACTTGAACCTCGTCACCACTCTGACGAGGTTAGTCTTGATACTTACTGGGTACCGCTGTGGTGCACTCATACTACGCTTCTGCACATTTTTGTACAGATCCAGGTACTTCAGATCGTGTTGATTTTGAGAGTTATGCCTATGCGGTTGGAACTTCAAGGTATACCTGCTGTTCTGTTCGCAGGCCTCGAAGTCACCCTCTTACTTCATATATGCTAATGTTTAATTGTAATTCAAAATAGTATTGTATTTTGGAATGTCTTGTGTACTCTCCGTAAAGCTTATGACACTGTATTACTGGATTTTGGGATTGTGAAAGTTGTATTATGATATTGGCTATGTTTTGGGCCATTTTTCTCAGTTTTATCTAACATTAAGTTGTTATATCCTGTCTGATGTTGTTGTGTGATAGACTTACCTAGTCGTAGAGACTAGGTGTCATCACGATCCTTAAGGTGGGATTATGGAGTCGTGACAGAAAGAAAAAAAAAGGAAAACAAAAGTAGTGATGACAAAAAAGCTTTTTTAGGAGATCAAAGCTCTTTCACCAAGGAAACTGCATATCAGATTTACCACCATCCGAAATCTCATATGTAAAAAACAATATAAAAGAGGCCCGCGCATGGTAAGATCATAGATGTCCTCTAGCTTAGGCACCACAGACTTGTACAGTTATGTTCCTCATTCTTTCCTTCTTTTCATTTCTCCTTTCATTTTCTTTTTTCTGGAGGATATACCATCATTATCATGCTTTGATATACTTATGATTTTTTCACCCCAAAATTTTCTAAGGAAACAGTAAAAGAAAAGAGTTAATAACTTCATGGCTATTCTGACTTTATTGATGGTATAATGACAAAGGGAGACTCAGCAACTCAAAGTATATCCAATAAGATTAACAGTTCCAACATGAATCATGTTGTCACCACTCACCAGAAACAAATTAAGGAAAAACGGAAGGAATGCCGAGAAGGAGAACTTTTTACTTATAGTCTATAGAATTGACTTTTCTGTATCAGGGTTCTGTAACTTACCCCAGCTTTAGAAACTCTCAGCTCCACATCATGATTATAAATCTCATACAAATACTGCCCCAACTCAACACCTTCCTTACCCTCCTGTTTCAAGCGTCGTAAGCAAAGCCACATATGGATAACAAGTAACGAGAATGTGGTCTTAAATGTTTTCTCCAAGTTAAATACTGCACAGCAACATATATACACAGATCAGACAACAAAATGAACATTAATTACCATATCAACTCCAGGAAGAAAAGGAAATTATAATTTCTAAAGATGGCAGGGAAAAGAAAAACAGAAAAATAAGGTGTTGTGAAAAAATAAGGTAATTACAATTGTGTGTTTTTCTTGTTTAAATTTCTTAAATGGCTGTATTTTCACAATAAAGGGTCATTAACTTAGACATATTTGATCACACATCTGAATATTTTCCTGAAAGTATCATATGGAAAATGAATATTCAAAAAGTTGAGCTGTAGAGTTAACATGAGCAAGAATGCTGTTAAAGATTAGTAATAATGAGCTGGGTTAGAATCTTATGAGATATAAGCTGCCAGTGCTTGAATGATTAAAAGGATAGGCCAGATTCAGTCAACAATTTGACAATTGCTAAATTGCATCTTCAATTACATGCTCACTAATCAAATGTCCTATGAGCATCATAGTGGATCTAAGAAAGAAAAGACACAGATGTAGCATTGTATTTTCTCTTATTTTTCTTAAAATAAATAATATAAGTTTCAGATAATGATCCATGCACCAACAGGAAAAGGCAAAAGCAATGATGTTCGAGGAGCAACGAGCGAACAGACTAACCGTCATAAATAGCAGGTCTATCAACTTGGTGAATAACACGGCGATAAATAACATTTGCCCCTCGAATGGACTTGCTTTGCTTACTATAAAACCGCAACAGCTTAAGTATAAAGCGCTTGATGCCCTCGTATTGTGGATCTTCAACTCTTAATGGTGAATCAGGTGCTAATGCCAGTGAATGAGGCTTAGACCAAAACAACTTGTTCAATTTTACCTACTCAAGTGACAGAAATTCAATTACCAGCAGCTGCAGCACTTTGTAAGTTGGACAAATTAGATCCAACGAATCATTTGCTCAGTATAACCACGAATAACTTAATTAAGATAAAGCAATCTTCTTTCAGTTTGCTCATCAAGGTCAACTACAGAAATTCAATAAAAAAAGCACACAAACGTCACAATTTTTGAACAACCAAAGATTAAGATTCAAGCAACAAAGTCATGCCGGACTATAATCTTTTAACAGAGTCATGCTCGTTGCTCCTCCAACTCCAACATCATTGATAATACTCTCTTTACGTGAACTTATTTCCTTTTTAAGTCATATTCAAAAAGGATGAGCACTTTCTAAATTAGAAACAAGTTATTAAACTTGACATTTTACCCGTAATAAATAAATAAATAAATAANCCACACAAATGTTATGGCATATTCAAGACTACAAGTTTCAAAAGTTTCCGTTTCTTTTCTTAAACAGCATACAATAGGCAAATTTAGCTTGAAGCTTAAAGGGTAATCAAGTACTCAAAACCCCTGAGATTTAGAACAAAAGTCAAAAGTTAAAAACCTCGGTTTTGACATTGAAGATTTTCTCAGTGGGATCAGCTGCAACCGCCGCAACTTTGGAATAATCTCGACAGGAGAAAGAACACAAATGTCTTCCCAATTCTGAGTTCCTGTGTGAGTTAACCCTAGCAAACTGGGAAATAGCCTTGCTCCATCTCGGCAACATCCTTTTCGCTATCAAATCAAACACTACCAGAAACAATGTTTGATGTCATAATTCCATATAAAAACAGAAATAATAAAAACGTGCTTAAAATACATACATTAATTCAAACTTGGAAGAGATTTTTACGAACGACCAGAAGTTATGCTCTTGAGCTATTGGAGCTGTGCTGCGATCGTTGATATTCAGAGGTTTAGGAATATCTTATTAAACCCTCCTAAATAAGAATGGAATTTGTTACTACCAAAAAAAAGTAGTTCAATCGTACGGTCACGAGGAGCTTTTGGAAAGAGTGAGATCTTATTGCTGTAGCTATGATGATTTCCACGTCGTTACTGGCTTGAAATGACTATGATCATTCGTTTTTATTGGTGTCAAATTGCTTACGAATTTCATTAATTTTCCAATTGACATGTTTAATTTGTCCGGTTTTCATCTCCAATATCCATTATTTTTGTCTTTGGTCTTTGCCTTCTTTAGAAAAAAATTCTCCAATTTTCTTTTAAAGGAAAATGAAGTATTAAATTTAGCTCAGTTAATGCATTTTCTTGCGTGTTTATTAACAATAATGGTAATTCATTAATTTGTACACCAAAAACACAAGAAAAAAATATCATCCTTCTAAATGTAGACACCTAATTTTCTACTCTTTTCTCTATTAGCTAGGCGTAGAATTTAAAAGTCCAGACTTGCTAAATGTATTTTATTGTTAAGAAATGTAGCTCAAACTAATAATATAAAATAAGAAAATAAATAATAGAATAAGAGAAGAACAATGAACTTTCTTATTTCATCAAGTGTTTAAGTGTGTCCCATATCACATTTCATGCCTCTATTTATACTATTACATAAAAGGTTACAAAGGACTGTCTTAAACATGATATTAATAATTAGGATCATGAGGAAGATCACGGGAAGAGGTTATGGAAGTGTAGGAGTTATAATCATAATAATGAGGAGTAGTGGGAGGTTATCTGCATCATGAAAGCAGTGGGAATAGTACACATCCACATTTACTAATAATTTACAACACTCTCTAAATATAGATAATATGTCTCGTTAAAACCTTAATAAGAAAAAATCTTGTGGAAAAAAATCTTAGTGAAGGAAAAAAAGTACACATATCTGTAATACGCTTTGTTTGTTGCCTCGTTAAAAGCCTTACCAGGAAAATCCAATAGGACAAAACCTAGGTTAAGGGAAAAAGAGTACATCGCGTATCTTACTCCCCTCATGAAAACATCGCTTTATTTCTCGATGACGACGCATTCCAATCTTCTGTCTCAACTTCTCAAATGTTGAGGTTGATAATGCCTTAGTGAACAGATCAACCAAATTATCACATGAATGAATCTGTTGAACATTAATTTCACCGTTCTATTGAAGATCATTATGCGTAAATATAATGATTTATTAGTTCTAATTGTATTTCTCGTTGTTTCTTCTTAATATACATTGCATATTTTATCCCAATTGTATTTATTTAGATATAGTGAATATATATTTCAATTATGTATTTATTATCTTTTTTTTCGGTCCAAATCTACAAAAGTTAGTTGAAACTCTATTTATTTTAGCCAAATAAAAAAAAGATTTAGCCAAAGTAATGAAGTTCAAATGGTGTATTTTCTACAAAAAGAAAAAAAATATTGTATATTATTATTATTATTATTATTATTATTATTATTATTATTATTATTATTATTATTATTATTATTATTATTTTCATGCAATGACTATTTATTTAAACTATGCATTTTTCTTTTTCGAGTCAATTTCGCTAATATTTGGTCGGAATTTTACTATTTTTAGATAAAATATTTATTTAGCCAATATATGGAGTTCCAATAATGTATTTTTAAAAAAAAAATTTAGATGCAATGATAATATATTCTAACTGTGTATTTCTTTTTTTTCTGACCAAATATGCAAAAGTAACTTGATTAAAATATTATTATCTTTAGCCAAATAAAACATTACAATCAAAATAACGTTGTTTTAATTTTTTATTTTTATAGATTTTGGCACGAAAAAAATGATTTAAATATTTGGTGGACTTAAAAAGATAAAAATATATGTTTTATTATAAAAAATATCGTGTGTCACATTCTCATGGATTATCAGTGTCTAGGGGGTCGAGGCTATGAAATTGCCAAATTCAAGAGGGTATTAACGACCACGTGAAGTATAAGGGAGGACTAAGAGGGTGTTTGGATTGGCTTTTAAGCTGGTCAAAATTAGCTTTTAAGCTCTTTTTAGCTTTTTTCATTGTTTGGCAAAGCTATAAAATGCTTAAAATAAGTTAAAACTGCTTAAAACAAGCCAAAAATAATAATCTGAGTAATCCTAACTTATTGTTTTTGGCTTAAAAGTTATTTTATAAGCCAATCCAAACGGTCTCTAAGTAAAAGTTGCCAGGGGTGTCGAAGCTAATTGATAATGTCGCATTCATATGCAAAAATTACTACCATTTGCCTAGTAAATTTGAATTATATCCGCAGCAGTCACCCTTTCTAGATCGATTTTTAGAGTTCTTCAATTTGATTAATTCCGGTCTAAGATACGAACTTTTTGGTCCTCCCAACTTTCTATCTAACAACATTAATCAGATAGACATATATATTTTAAGTAAGTTTTACAGTTAAATTACTCAAAAACAATGTGTAGGTATGTAAAATTTATTGGAGTTAAATTCAATAAAATAATTTGGACTATATTTCAAGTATGTTAGTCCAAATAAAATATTACGGGCTAATATAATTGGATTGATTAGATAAGTCCAATATACATGAGTTAAATAAATAAGTCCAAACTCATTTGTCTAGCCCATTTAATTGGGCTACAAGTGATGAGCCCACTTCATTAAGCCCAAGATGACATCTTCCTAGAGGCCCAGTTTGGTGCTATGTGTGAAATGACGTGGCACGACAAGTCAAACGTAAGATCCAGGTATGGGCATTATGAGTTTCGTCAAACGGATGTTCCGAAGATGGCTTTCCGGACCAGATATGAGCACTATGAGTTTCTAGTGATGTCCTTTGGCTTGACTAACGCCCCGACGTCGTTTATAGATTTGATGAATCGGGTGTTCAGGCCATATCTTGACTCATTTTTCATTGTCTTCATCGATGACATATTGATCTACTCGCATATTATGGATGAGCACGAGCAGCATTTGAGGTTAGTGCTTCAAACCTTGCGGGAACAAAAGTTATATACTAAGTTATCCAAGTGCGAGTTCTGGTTAGATTCTGTGGCTTTCTTGGGGCATGTTGTATCGGGTGAGGGTATTAAGGTGGATCCTAGGAAGATCGAAACAGTTTAAAGTTGGCCTCGTCCTACCACAGGGACCGAGATCAAGAGTTTCTTGGGGTTAGCAGGTTATTATCGTCAGTTTGTGGAGGGTTTCTCGTCTATTGCAGCTCATTTGACTAGATTGACCCAGAAGCGTGCTCTATTCAGATGGTCCGATGATTGCGAGGCGAGCTTTTAGAAGCTCAAGGCCGCATTGACTACAACGTCGGTGTTAGTGTTGCCCTCTAGATCAGGGATGTATACTGTATATTGTGACGCTTCACGCGTTGGCTTGGGTTGTGTATTGATGTAGGAGGGGTGAGTTATTGCATATGCTTCACATCAGTTGAAGCCCCACAAGAAAAATTATCCCGTGCATAATTTGGAGTTAGTTGGGATAGTTCATGCCCTCAAGATCTGGAGGCACTATCTTTACGGGGTGTCTTGTGAGGTTTACACCGATCATCGCAGTTTGCAGCATTTGTTTAAGCAGAGAGATCTTAATCTGAGGCAGTGCAGTGGCTTGAGTTACTGAAGGATTATGATATTACTATCCTCTATCATCCGGGCAAGGCAAATGTGGTCGTGTATGCCTTGAGCATAAAGGCTAAGAGTATGGGTAGTTTGGCATTCATTTCAGTAGAGGAGAGGCCATTGGCTTTGGACATTCAGTTCTTAGCCAACCGACTTGTGAGGTTGGATATGTCTGAGCCCAGTCGAGTTCTTGCATATGTTGTGGCTCAGTCTTCTTTATTCGAGCGGATCAAGGCTTGTCAGTATGATGATCCGCACTTGCTGGTCCTTAGAGAGACGGTGCTACGGGGTGATGCCAAGGAGTTTACTATCGGTGATGATGGTGTTCTGCGACTCCAGGGTCGCTTATGTGTTCTAATATTGATGGTCTGAGGGAGACGATTCTAGATGAGGTACACAGTTCATGGTATTCTATTCATCCAGGTGTTACGAAGATGTATCGTGACCTGAGGCATCATTACTGGTGGCGACGAATGAAGAAGGACATAGTCGAGTATATGGCGAGGTGTCTGAATTGCCAGCAGGTTAAATATGAGCACTAGAGGCCAGGTGGCCTACTTAAGCATATGGTTATACCGGAGTGGAAGTGGGAGCACATCACAATGGACTTCGTATTTAGGTTACCGCGGACGTTAAGGAAATTTGATGCCGTTTGGGTCAATGTCGACAGGCTGACCAAGTCTGCACACTTTATTCCAGTGGTGACTACGTACTCTTCAGAGAGGTTGGCCTAGATTTATATTCAGGAGATTGTCCAGCTGCATGGTGTGCCTATTTCCATCATTTCAGATAGAGGCGCTCAATTCACTTCACATTTCTGGAGAGCAGTACAGAGTGGGTTGGGTACCCGGGTAGAGCTCAGCACAGCCTTTCATCCGCAGACCGATGGGCAGTCGGAGCGGACAGTTCAGATTCTAGAGGATATGCTCAGAGCATGTGTTATTGTCTTCGTAAGGCAGTGTAATTGGTTCTTACCATTGGCCGAGTTTGCTTATAACAACAGTTATCAGTCCAACATCGAGATTGCTCTATTTGAGGCTTTATATGGTCGGCGATGTCGTTACCCCATCGGTTGGTTTGATCCTGGCAAGGCTAGGTTATATGGTACTTATTTGGTAAAGGAAGTCTTGGATAAGGTGAAGTTGATTCAGGAGTGACTTCACACATCACAGTCTAGACAGAAGAGTTACTCAGATCATAATGCGTGTGATTTATCATTTATGGTGGGCGAGAAAGTTCTCTTGAAAGTTTTGCCGATGAAGGGTATCATGAGGTTAAGAAAGAAGGGCAAGCTAGGTCCGAGGTTTATTGGCCCATTTGAGGTGTTGAAGCGAGTTGGGGAGGTTGCTTACGAGTTTTCTTTGCCTCCTAGTCTATCGGGAGTCCATCCAATTTTCCACGTGTCTATGCTCTGGAGGTACCATGCCAATAGGTCGCATGTGTTAGATTACAGTACATTGCAGCTTGATAAGAGCTTGAGTTATGAAGAGGAGTCAGTTGCCATTGTTGACAG